TTACTGGGTCATTATTTAGAGAACTGATGAATTGTTCAATTTTAGTAAAGCATTCCACACGCTCAGCGCCATTAATGGGTGCATAGACATTAATTATATGAACAAGATTTTCATTAATTCGAACATGAGCGTGCAACACGTATCCAGGCATGATTTCACAGTTGCTGCTAGAGAAAACAAAATTGCCACACCCGCACGATTAAAGGTGCCATGAGAAAAAATACCACGGCCACGCCACACAAGTTTCCAAAGATTTTCATCAGAGACAAGAGACTGTGTTTCTTGCAACATATAAATATTACAGAGATGGTCACGCTTAAGGTAATTGAAAATACTGTACCGTTTGAGGGCGTCCCGGCAACCATTGACATTATATGTTGCGCATGTTATTGTGTTTGCCATGATCATAAAAAGGGGATTAAAACCGATCGGTTCATTCGGGATGCAGCCACAATATTACTGGCCCCGACTAAATCTGCAACTCCACATAAGTTTCTACCGGAATGCCATCAATGTTTTCACACCGTGCCGCATGCATGGTTTATAGTACGGTGACCTGTTGACGGTGGCTTTGTGTGAGCGGCAGCCATCTTGGTTGCCGACCACCTTGCCAAGGCAAAAGCAAAAACACTCCAAAAACACCAACAAATGTTAAAATACAACAGAAAGTTACTCACGTAGTGACCATAACCACTAAAAAGAACACCTATAGCGAAAATAATAACTCAGTCGGAAGCACACACCAACAATTATATTATATTTTAGTACTATCTTATTATTAATCAGAATGTGTATGTTTTTCTTTTTTTAGATCTAGTAATGGTGAAATATGCCATTACTGCCCCCGAAAAGCCTGTGTTCACAGAAAAGAGCAGCAGCACGATGATCACATTCGACCTGGAAGTGAAGAACACCGGTGACGCTTTGGACGCTGCTGAAAATGGCCACTTTACGGCTGAAGTATTTCTCTACGACCAATCAGAGTCGGCGACAGAGACATCATGTGGTTTTACGACAACTATTCCAGAGGGTGAGTCCGGACGTGATTTAGTGAAAGGTCCGATCACTACACAGGGCACAATCAATGTACAGGGGATTACATCTACGGTTAACATCACTGGGTGTGCGGCAAACTGTAAAGCCTACGAATTCCTGTGTGTAGTACTGAAACCTGCAGCCGCTGACGATGACGCCACCAACAACGGTTACTGTCTTCCTTTTGGGACAGCGCCCCCTGCAGGTGCAGGCAGCAAAAAATGCAGTAGTGCGGGTAAGTTCGTCTCAAAAATGTTATATTTGTATTTTTGTCTAATATATATTTTGATCCATTTATAAATATAGATTTTCACATATATACACACTTAATAGGCCATGCTATCCCCCCATGTAGGTATGGCTCAATTATATATGATAAGGTATTTAGTCGTTTTAAAGATACGATCGCTGGTTCATAGACGCCGGATTAATCCAGCGGCTATAAATCGCTGAATGTAGATTAATAACAACTATCGAAGCAGATTGTATTCATATTGAATATAATATCCCAATAACATAAAATATTTTGTATTTTCTAGGTAATGGCACTGCTGGCTTTCTAGATCTCACTGTGGTATCTGTATCCTGTCTCCTATCACTGGTGCTCGTTTGGACAAAATAGCACGATCCTCCTGAAAATGACGTCGATCGTGCTGATTTTTTCTTACTTTTGATGTTTATTACGTTCATTCATTAATATCATACTTTGGGGGAAGTATAATGTGTTTATTCACTCAAAGCAGCAGTCTTGTCACAAATCTGGCACATGATCAAGACCTCGGCCGAAAACTGTGGCAGGACTGGGTGGAATTTCACGTTATGGACGTAGAGGACGTCACTTACCGCCAACCTCGATCATGACAACTGAACTCAACTTTTAATTCTACGGCGAAACTGTCTAAAAAAACCCATTGTGGAAAATGTTTTTTGTGTCTTGTAAAAATCAACTCTCTTGAAAGACTGTACTTAATTTGTATTTTCATTAAATTTCACTAAATTTGACCAAGTCACGTGATGTTTTTCTTTTAACAAGATATTGATTTATTCATTTTTCATTGAAAATGCTTGTTGTAATTATGCCTGACATAGCGAGTCTGACAAGCAACTCTACTTGAGGGCGTGTGTCGCATTCGAAATAAGTTTTGAGTAACAACCACATTAATCCGGGTAACGAGGGCTTGAACATAGAATTTGTTTTCAAAATATGCAGTAGGTACTTGTCCACAACCTCTTGTTAGAGGAATGAACATATTTAACGCGATTGAGAGCTGCGATTGAGACGAGACTTTAACCAGATTTATTATAGGGTATCATGTCTATTTCCAGGGTAGGTATGTGACCCGGATGAACACTGTGACGTAAGTATAGTTCAATATCACATAATCTTTGTTCAGTTTAAATCAAATAGATTTGAATGTCTTGGTAGAGGGGAAGTACTTTCTCGAAAGTGGTATAATGGTAGTTAACGGTCACAATGTTTTTTTTTTCTGTGCATTGATTAATTGACAACGCCATGTCCAAGTCTCTGAAACATGCGTACTAGCAACTACTATGCGACCACGTCATAGTTCAGATCACGTCATAGTTCGGTCCACAGTACAACATACTGTTACACCCTTTTCCCTTTGAACAATGAGCATAAAAACGAGTGTACAAATTACAAATGTAGAATCAAGTACAGATCAGAGAGTCTCATGACTCAAGAAAAGTTCACTATATGCATTTTTTCTGCAACTACTCTGTTCTAATCATTACATTTAGCCGGGCCATCAGTATTCATTAAAGCTAACTAATCACAATTAGTTCATTAAACACGTTGCGGAAGAGAGGTTACACGGGCCCACATCGCGGGACCAACTAAGTTCGTGCCAAAATCACGCCCTCAATCGTCGATCTGGCAGACCCAAACATAGCAGACGATGCACATAAATGATACTAATAATTATTTTATTGAAATCATATTCATTTGCTGCTATGATATGTAGCATTGCAAGAAAAAACAACAGCAGCACATAAATTTGCATTCTCGACATTACAATCGCCAACTGCGTTCATTTCATTCATTACTACATCATCCGACCCTATCTAGCTACACTTTCCTCTATCGCTATGTCATATGAGTAGAGAAGTATCCTCAGGGGCGGAGCTACGTCACGGACGTTCTACGTTGCTAAGACGCGCACCACTGTACCACGTATTTCTATGGGCTTTGTGCGCGCTGCTGTGGAACGCCGGTGGAGCCGGTGAAAACTCGAGAAAACAACACAAACTCAACTTTGAAGTAATCCTGAACAACCAAATTCATATATGTTACACAGGTAGGGCTAATCTTGTTACACTGTTCAGGGCACTCTCAACAACCATCGCAAAGTACCGTTTTCTGTGAGTTTTTGGTCTTTGTTTTCACCGCGAAGGTTGCCAGGCGGTAGAAAATGCCCGGATGCCGCCCCGAGGATGAATCAGTATATATCCACCGCCGAGGGCGTGTTTTCGTCGCGCCGAGCGTTCGGGTAGCAAATGTGGGCGCGTTCCAACTCGGTCCCGATAGTTCACACACACGCTTCGGTATCGGTGCCCACTTTCGGCACTTGGCGAGATCTGTAACGTGTGCGCCAATATTGTAAGCATTATTTACACTCTAAGCGGCTTACTAAAGTTACAGTTTATAAGCCAGAAGAATCATGGATATAGTATAACTTTGTCGAGCTATGCGAAAAGAATGTATATTGTAGGACAAGAGAAACCTTATAAACATATTCAGTGACATATTAACATCTGTAACAGCAATACTGATTTTTCTAAGAAGGGGTAGTGCAAATTACTTCGTTTTGCTCCGTCCAGACTTATTCCTGTAGACTAATCTTATTCAAGTCTAACCCGATACTAATGTGCAATTAATGCCATAGATGTCACGATTTCACTCGCTCACTTAACTAAATCACCCAACCCAAGTTTTCACCCAATTGCGATCCAGTGTTTGTAGTGACTAATCTTTTAGCAATACAACATATAGTACATTCCGTGCAGACCATAATACACACGGTGTGAGGTTTGGGAGAGTGTTAGAGTGTTGGATTGGAGACAGTAACTGTCATTCCATTATACTGTTCAAGTTAAAGAACCCTCATATTATCACCTCAAAACAATTGTCTTTCACATCAATACCTGTAAGAGAAGGGGCTTCGAGAATTGCAGTGGAGAATGCCAGCTGATCTGAATCGTAAATAAAATGTGTTCCAAGCACTTTATAGTACTAGTATACTAGTATAGTAAGTTCCCAGTGACAAGGTATGAACAAACTTGATAAAAAATGGCAATGGTAATTTTTACAGCATGGATATGCGCATGCGTATAAAATAATTCAGTATGGCAGCTCGTTTGTCTACGATAACATTGTGGACAATTTTGTGTCGACTATCCAGTTAATTTTACTACTTTCCATCCAAATATTTCAACTTTCCATCTTTAATAGCTTTCAAGACAACTTTTGCGACTTTCCAACCCACCGCGACTTTTCTGATCTTCCAACAAACTTCTTTCAACATTCTAATGTTATCTACATTCCAACATTCCAGCCGTTATGATTATCAAACCAACTTTCACAACTGTTCAACCAAATATTTCCCATTGCCAACCAACTTTTGCCGCTTCAACACACACCAATCTGATTAGAAGTGCGGCCACTTTACTGCCACACTGACACGATAATCAAAGTCGCCAATACCAATATGAAACAGGGTGCTAATCTATGCATATTCAAAAGATAACAGTTTTACGTCGTCTAATATTCTCATGAATGAGGGCGCCCTACATTTGGCCGAAACGCAAATTTCAAATCATTGGTGAACCTCAATGCGCACTTAATTTATAGTTGTGTATATTCTAAACTGTATTTGAAATAATATTGCAGTGGTTTAATGTTTTAATTATATCTGTAGCTTGGGTAGGCAATTGAAGTGTTTGCAATTAAACCCCATGGAGGCCAATAAATAACAAAGTAAATAACAAACGAACATATTTTATGTCCGTGTACTTTTCAAAGCTATGACGTTTTACTGATCACCTTCGTATACGCCATTATCATTTTTTAATATATTGTGGTCATCTGTGTTTCTGACCGAACACAGTGAAAATATATATGGATTTAAGAGATTTAATTCCAGAGTACCCTTTAGTAGGAATGATTTTGTAGCGATCCTGGCTCCAGATGGAATCCCCAAAATCAGGTTATGTTTGTTTCTTGTTGACTGCTGGGAAGGTAGGTAGTAACAAAATAAAATCGTATGCGACTATTTCGGAGACTTAGACACAAACAAAAATGCTATGGCCCCTGATTTCCCTTCTTTTATACTTATTTTGTTTATAAAATGTGAATTATATTTTATATATAACTATAGTAAGATGCTTTACAAGATCAACGTGTAATTTTAGTTGCGTCAACGCCCCAACATCTTGTTGCGTCATAATCTGATTAAAATCGGTTCTAATTGTTCATTTATTATTTTAGTTATATTTTTTTCAAATTTATTTTTCTAATTATTTTTTTTTTAATTTTTGACTGCGAACGCCAAAAGATCTGAGCAACCGCCATATAAGATCCCGTTCGCGAGATCTTAGATAACCAGATTCGTCAATTCATTAGTGTCGGCCATGTATATAGCGATTATGCCATTTGTGCACAAGCTACAAAATCCAACCATGGCTCTATGTAAAGTCTTTTCTGATTGGTTATTGAAGTTTGCGTTTAACAGACTTGTTATGGAGGTCATTCAGACCTCTGAGCTTTCGCTATGATAATCATACATTTACAAAAACTGAAAATTAGGGAAATAATTGAAAACAAATAATAAAATAACATAATACTAAAAAAAAGGGTAAAATAAAAATAAAATAAAAATGTATAAAAGAAATTTACTTCACATCAAATTGGCTTTGATTCAAGTGAACACCAGCAGACTAGCCACGCTAGGTCCATCCAACCAAGATTTTTACAAGACAATTCAGAAATGTGTATTAAGAATAGTTCATAAAAAATGTATTTCCTATGCACTATTTTTCATATTCATCGATTGCACAAAAATATTAAAGAAACAAGCCCGTTAGTTATCAAATTTAAGATATATAGTTTTGTTTATAGTAATATAGTCATATAACATAAACATGTCAGAAATATGGATCTAGATTCATTATGATGATTTTTTAACATTAATATATATATATATATATATATATATATATATATATATATATATATATATATATATATATATATATATATATATATATATATATATATATATGATGTAAAACGAATATATAAAATTTTAACATAATCAGTCAAAGCATATCAGAGATATAGCTCTATAAGCGCATTCATTTAAACAAAGTCGCCGCCAGACAGCCATTGTGAATTCTATTTGAACAAAATCCATCCATAACGGAATGCCAGAAATGCTCGATTTTAATGATTTTTTAGCACAAAAATGGCCACCATTCGGTCATCTTGAATCAGATCGTGAAACAAATTGATGTGTATATGTATAATATTATGTATGGTACAGCCATTTTGAATTGTATTACCAAGTTTGAACATGTATGGTGTATGTGTGAAGTTTGATTGAGATTGGTCCAGGCATGTCTAAGATATAGGTCCGAACGGACGCACGGACACACACAGATGAAAACATAAGTCCCCGTTCGGACGCAGTCCGAAAACGGGGACTTATGTTTTCACCTAAAAAGATAATTTGCTATATTCTCTAAATGTTTGCCTTTTATTTGTCTTTAATTATGACTGTAAGAAGCTGAATGTAATTACAAACTATGTAGTGTGTTCAACAACTCATGTATGAACAATACCTTTAATAAATATGATTTTACTTGGTAAA